TATTACAGATGGTTTTTACCTATCATGTGTGTTCTGGAAATCTAATCTGGGTCCTCTGCGATGGCAGCCAGTGCTGTTAACCACTATTCTATCTCTCCAGCCCTGATACTGTGTATAATCTGAATTGTCAAATTCATTCAGCTGAGAAACACTTGGGTTATGAGTAAAGAAATATAAGGGTATTTCTAGAAACAATTAAATAATGACAGCTCTGACCTATGAATGAATTAACACTTTGATGGATTCATGATTTGGTAAAATTGACAGTAGAAGAAAAGTGACAGGCATGGGCCTGGTTGTAGGAATGGAGCAGGGCATATCTTTCCAGGTTATTTCCTGTCCTGACTCCTTCCTGTATTTCTTTCTTCTGCTTCTCAGCCATCAGGGGATGACCTCCTCCACTGGTTTCTGATGCCATGATGATCTGTCCAAGTATGTGAGCTCAAGAAACCATGAACTGAAACTTTTGAAAACTTGAGCTAAAAACGCCCTACCTCTTTATGTTGTTTGATCAGAAGCTGTTGTCACAGTGCTCAGAGGAAAGTGAAACATTTACTGTGAACACAATGATTTTCTTATTTCTGTCTTTTGTGTGCAATATCTCATCGCTGATAATTCTAAATAATGTTATGTATTGCTATACTGTTAAATTTACCATTAACTATTCCTATTAGACGATTCCATAAATGAACTAAAATGCATTCCATTTATCTATGTTTTTCCTTTTATTCCTTCAATACAAAGTATTTCTATTCATGGAACCCATGTTCATGCTACACTGGTTTGTCTGATATGAACAGGCTCAGCTGTGTGGTTCCACAGTGGTAATTTCAGCTTGTCTCGGGTGTGGATTTGATTCACCGAAACAAGGAACAAAAATTTTTGAGCCTACATTGAGCAATAAAATCAACCCACACTCAAAGTACCAAAAACCACCATTGCAACACAGACCCAAGAACTTTATTTTAATTTTGATTTGATAATTTCTAAAGTTAAGTTTTAAAAAATCATTATTCCATTTTTCTTTCCATCAAAATTACACTGACTTTTCAATGCAAACTATGAAAGCCGGAAGAGCCTGGACCAGAGTATTCCCAGTTATAAACAACCATGGATGCCAACCCTGAATACTTTATCAAGCAAAACTATCAAGGTTGAAGGGGAAAAGAAAAATTTTCATGACATAAATAGACTAAAAGAATTCATGTCTTTGAAACCATCCCTACAGAGAACACTCAAAGCAATACAAAAGACCAAAGAAAGGAATGAGTATGGCCAAGAGACTACAGAAAGAAAGCAAAGAAAGGTATAACAACGGAAACACAAAATAGGGCCACAAACACAAATTACAATGACAGTATAAAATACACACCTTTCAATAATAACGCTAAATATCAATGGCCTCAACTCCCCTGTCAAAAGACACAGACTAGTGCAATGAATCAAAAAAGAAAACCCATCCCTCCCTCATACCACCTTTGCATTTCTGGGTGGCACAGCCACCAGCATCCTGAGGCCAGCTTCTTTCCTGGGTAAGTTCAGCTGCACCCACTGCATCTTGACTCCCCAAGCCTCCTTCCCCCTCCCAGCTCCCCCACCCTGTCTCTCCTCCTAGCATGGGCACTGGCTCATTTCTTCTCTTGGCCCCCCAGACCTCAACAAAAGAAGGCTTGAGTCTCACACAGGAATCTGAAACCACAAAAGAAATCCACATGATGTCAAAGTCACAAAGAAAAAATAACATGAAAAACCAAAAGAATATATCCACACCAACTACCAGTAGTCCTATAGAGGAGAACAATGAGAACCCCCTAGAGATAACACAGGACATGGAAATCAAAAGAACAATTATAAACACAGTAAAAGAATTCA